CTAGAGGAAAAATCCTCTGCCCCCGTCGGGGATCGAACCCCGGTCGTCCAGCCCGTAGCTAGTCACTATACTGACTGAGCTATGAGTGAATTTAATTTTGATTAGTATCGGCTCATTTAACCCTTATTTTGTATAAAACTTAAACTGAACTTCATACTTTTAAATGGATCGTCGTAAAGTAAGATGGTGCATAAGACTCAGCTTCTATTTAAATCTGAACTTTCTATTTGAACACACTTTCTATGTTTTAAACGAAATGTTCGTAATTTTGTGCTGTGAGCTTTACGAAAACAGGTTTAATCTGTAATAATACGCTTGTATTGTCAATAAACTGGCGAGCCGGGTAGCTCAGTCAGTATTGTGAGGGGCTACGTGCTGGACGGTCGGGTTTCGACTCCCAACAGAGGCAGAAAGGCTCTAGGGCACACCCTTGTTGTTCCTCTCGCACGAGAAGGTTTCGTGACATCATTAATCATTCTTCTGCGCTGAGTTTCTGTTATTGTTGTGCAGACCAGTCATCCTGTGATCCAGAGACTGGGTCGATTTTCATCTTCAGCTAAGAAGAATCCTGTTCGTTGCAACATCCCGGAGAAAACTCTTGGTGCTTCATTTATTCATTCTCCCATCCTATCTGTGCACAGGAGTCGTTAAAAAACGAGGACGAATTCTTCTCTTGTTTCTTTAGTTCATACCTCGAGTAGGGATAAACCAATCTGCCCAAAACTTGGCACTCTTATGCCCTAAAAGTAGGAGATTTTTGAAAGGTCAGAAATCCGAAACGGAGGAAATGCATTTACTTCAAGAAAACCACTGCAATTAGTTGGAAGGGACGTGAGTTATGGCCTTGAGTTCTGCAGTACTCATTTCAATTGCATAGCACGCAAGGTCATGACCCATCGAACTAGCTATACATAGTTTCTCTATTGCACGCTTGATGTCTCTGGTATACAGAAGTAAACCAGCACCGCCACCATGGAACAGTTGTGGAAACTTCTACGTACTTGTGAAAACGCTAGCCGATCATACACGCACGCTCTTCGTCGAGCGGGTTGACGTCCCTAACCCACAAGGTTATGTTGAACTCGTAACATGTAACGTCAAACGAAATTTATCTTTTTAACACCAGTGGCGTGACACTGGCATTTTAGAAACCTTAAACTGACTGACGATCCTAAAGTCGTAAAATCCACACACCGCTTTTCAAATTTATTGAACCCAAAATGTGTCGTGTGCCGAAACGTTTCGTAAAACATGTGGATAGAGACAATACATTTGCACGTATTTCAAACATCGCATTTGCATTAAAGATAAAATATAAAGATACGCGATGTTTTGTACAGAATTAAACATCGATCGAAGAATACATGGACCTAAGAAATAAATAAACGATAAAACAGAAACAGGGATACAAAATAATAAGCCTTATCATTTGCACACTTCACTAAACATTATTGGGGCAATCATGTCAAGGAAGATGGGATTGGAGACATGTAGCATGAATGGAGGAAATTAGAAAACAAATAAATAATGAAATTCTGATAGATTCCTACTAGACTACACGTCGTAACGACCGTGAAGACAGCCATCTACTGCCAACTTCTCAATAACTCAAACATGAACAAACGCTTCGCTATGGGGATTTTCTAATCACGAAGAAAATATCCCCGTGTATGGTCGTCTACTGTAAACATGTCGGAAAGCGCACTGTGGAGCGCCGACTAGCGATAGTCGACTCTGTGGAGCAGCGAGTCTAGCGAAATGTGTAGTCAGTTCTCTCAGCTCCACTCGACGGTGCTTTGCCTCTCTGATCGTACACATCATGGCTGTTAATAAATTAATCAGTTTAGTGCACACGCGAACCGCATTGTGGGACCAGGGAGACACAAGACACCATAATCGATATGTACTTGATAAACTGTGGGGAGAAGTGGCTCATGAAATGTGTTCCACGAGTAAGTATAAATCACTTTCCCAGTTGCAATACGTACAGCGTTGAGCTCTGAAGATGGCGACCAGGAAACTAACATTTTAGAAGGAGGCATGGGTTCGAAACCCGGATATATTTGTTGACATTATTCTGCATTTGTCATCTTCCAAAAATCACGTCAGAAAAGAAGATAATGAAGGAAAAAAGCGTTTGTATTCAACGGCGTGTTCAGCCCAGTGTTTCTTAACCTGTGGTCGGCGAACCGTTGCCCGCACGTCTTAATTTTTTTTTTCCAATCCGCGTATTCTAATTATCATTTGTTAATTTATATATATATCAGAGCAAATGGGAAAATTTCTAATTTATACACCACAAACGTCGATTACTTCGTATTTTGTTTACCTTCAACGATTAGATAATTTGTATTTTGTTTTTGTTTACCGATGTTACATACAATTAAGTGGTGGAAAGGGAGACATGCAGTTTTGGGGTCGACGATTGTACCCCAGAAATAGGGGAGGCGGAGCTATGTTACAATTTCGTAATCTCTGGAAGACGGGCATGTCACTAATTGTTTAATAATCTCTGGTGCACACATTTTAGTTGCATATGTCCCATGTTTGTGATTATGACATTTTTTTCGATTTTAATACCACATACCAAAGGGAAATAAACACGTTTAGGCTTGCTAGTAACGATTATATTCGTATTTGACAACTATCTGTATTGTACAACACGTACTGAGACAACATGGGACCAAGCAAGGTTAGGAACCAATTTAAGGCAAAATAACAGACAAGTTCTTACACACTACAACAAAATATCTGAAAGAATTTTATCTCGTAAATCGAAAGCTTGAGAGAAAGTTAGTAAAGGTTGTACAAAATGTTAATTTTGGCTCTCCTGATACATAGAACAGAAGCACGTGGACTCTAAAAGTAGCCGCAGAACTTCAAAACGGTAAAATAGAAATTTCAGGGATGCCTCAGTTTTCCATAAAAGGAAAGCTTATTGTATGAATTAAAACAGCCACAGAATGTCTAAAACATGTGTTCTGGGGGAATTACCTTAACCGTAATTCATACGGGGGAAAATGCGACAAAATGCCTGTTCCACAAATAATTAAAATTGTTAAATTAGTCACAGAATGGTCCAAAAATACGTTACTGAATATGTTCTAAAGTATAAATCGAAAAATAAATGATAAGAACGATGTTCACATCATTTACCGGCCTGTTTCACACACGAGAGAGAGAGAGGGGGAGAGAGAAGATACGTCCAGTGACAATAAGCAGGAGTGAGACTTCGTCTTCAAAATAATTGTCAAAGACGAACAAATATAAATTACAAAAATTGTTATATTATGATTATACTTCCGGAAATTAATCGGGATTTTATTATTATTATTATTATTATTATTATTTATTTAGTGTTCTGTCTGACGACAGGTCCATATGAACAGGATCCTTCCATCCTTTTCTCGGACTGGGACCTGTTCATATACGTTCTTGGCAGATGATCCAGAAGTGGTTTGCCATTGCCTTCTTCTGGGTGTGAATGGAGTAATTGTTGGGATGCCACGGAGGAAAACTCCGTGTTGCCTAGACCACGGACTTGCCCAACACAAGTTA